AAATTGCAACTAACAAAAATTGAAGGAAAAAAAAACAAACTGTACTTAAAAAAGCCAAAAAAAAAGAAAAATAGAAAAACAAGATGGTGATAAACATTGCTATTTTGTTTTTATTTAAAAAAGAACTCTGCTTATTTACCAACTTTCTTTCGTTCTCCTAGTATATTCTAGAAAACGATATTTCAAGCCCTAGCCAAAATGTGAAAACTAAAATAAAATAGTTTTCACCTTCTTTTTACTTTTAAATTTTGATCAAGGCATTTCTCATAGTCTAAAATCATAGGGAATGACTCATCTAATAAAAAAGTAAATTAGAAAATTCTTTGAATACTTAGCAAACAAGCAAAATGTTTCCTCCAAGTCAAGCAAGACTTATTTCTAAGTATTCAATTCTACGAACTTGTTCTTTTGATTGACTTCAAAGTCACATTATATATGATCAAGGTCCAAATTTTAGAGGTGTATCACACAATTTTTTTTAGTACAACAAATGTGGGACGAGAGATTTTTGCCCCTATATCTCAGGTATACACACTGTTCTCATACCCGTAGATTTGAACCCAAGACCTCAAGTATATTCCTTAAGGTCCTAAGCTATCCGAACTATCCCTCAAAGACTGGGCTGAGAGATTGGATTTTCGATTTTTAGAACTGAACAACATGCTTTAATCGTTGAGCTAAACTCATATTAGCATCTATCACACAATTATATAATATAAAAATTATATTGTAATTTATATATTACATTACTAAAATTTGGAATTACATAAATATATTAACACTTCGGATCATAATTCACTCTTCTTGTTTCCATTTTTGGATAAGGATCACAATTAACACCAAATCAATAAATCCTAWATTTTAATTTTTTAAGAAAAAAATCATTTTAGTCCTAACTTTSRAGCTGGAAATTAAGGAGGCACTTGAATCAAACTCRATAAGTTAAATAAAGATGTGACTGATTGATTTAATCTTATAAGTAAAGTTACATAATAATTTAATTTATTTTAGTACAACAAATGTAGGGTAGAGATTTGAACTTCCGACTTCAAGAGAATGAACAAATGTCCTGACTACCGAACYATGCTCAAATTGACACATAATAATTTAACTTTGGTTTTAACCRACCAATATCAATTTTTTCACCCACTTAAAAACGGCCTAATTGGCATTTAAAATTTTAATTTGTATTTAATAGATTCTTGACTTASTAGATTTTACAAATACTCCATGAAATTAGCTTAATCAAAAGCTAAGGTTTAAGAAACAATTTCATAAGAATATTTTCAAACTATCTTACCATTGCAAATTAAAGATTAAAATTTCCACTCTAATCCCTTACGAACTATAATCAAATGATATGTAAAAGTTATATGCCTGAATATATTAACACTACTATTTATAAATTAATAACCACAGTAGCAGAAATTTTTCATTCATTCTAAAATATAGATTTAGATTTATCGCGAGAACTTACAAAGGAGAAAGGGGAAAAATAAACACTTGATTTCTTTTTTACTAACATGTGGGGGAGATCGAACTCACAATCTTTTGAATTKGAGATATATGTCAATTAAATGACTTTCAAAAAAAAAATCACAATAACATTTTATAAAAGTGTAACAAGACCTTTGAAACAAACCTGAAATTTAATTTCAGTCGGAGAATCAAAACAAATTTTAGACTAAATATTATGTTTGAGTCATAGGTGAATTTCAATTGAGTTTGGTATGTTTTAGCATTTTTCAATGTACTCACTCGTTTTGGTAAATGTTAAAATTGACATGTCATAAATCTATATAGCATAATACTTACGGAATTAGCCAATATTTAGAATTGGGGAGGGGGAATTCTAATTTATCCTCCAAATTTCTAAGAAATGGATAGAAATTTCATGATAACCTTTCTTTCTCTTTTAAATTTAAAGTATCATATCACGTAAGTTTATCGTTATCTGCTATAAGCATGCATAGACTACTTGAAAGCCGTTAAAKACTTAGAATACGATGGATTAAATTAAAATTATTTAAATAATAGTAACTAAATTAAGAGGAAAAAAAACCTTAGGAACCAAAAACATATATTTAGCTTAAATTTTAATTAATCACTCGTCTAAATATCCTTTCATGATTTTTTTTTTTTTTTGAACGGAAAAAATATTTTGAAGACAGTTGCAAAACAAACCATGGGGCAATGAAACAAGACAGAACAGCAATGAATAAAGGCAAGCTTCTTCTATCCATTTTAGTTCTCACCTGAACTACCGAAGTAAAATCGAAGCAGCCGCTTTTTCCAACCAAATACAGAAGAAGGGGTACATCCTTAATTTTACACCACCCGCCCCTCCCAGCAATTACTGTTGGGTCTCTGTCTCTAAAGTTGTAATATTACAGCACCTGCAAATGTGTTGCTTCTTATCTTATCTTTTGCTTTCAAACCGATCCAACCACTTCTCTACGATATTAAACARGCTCGACACCATRCGTGTTCGCGCCCGAGACCGAAACAAGCAATGTACGCTTCCCACCAGGAGCAACCGCGACAAGTTCTGCTTCGAATTGGAAGCGAGAGGAAGTTTGGATGTGATTGTGTCAATGGGTTATTGAGATTTGTGCTTCGTAGTTCTTGATCATAGATCCTGAAAAAGAAAACTGAGTTACTCAAATACTATACGGATATATGTCTCGAGAAATAGCGTCGTGTATCTGCTAAGATATTACTTCAAATATGGATACCAGCAAGCATAACAGGTTTGACTAAGTGCAACTATATTTGCAACATTAGTAAAAACAGTAGTTGATCATGTGATACTTTATAACAGAGAAGGATAAGAACATGCTAGCCATTCAATTGGCATTAGTTATCATTTCAATGGTAACTCAGTTGGTTTCATCTGATTTGCAAGTTGTAGCTCCATATTAAAGACAATTGGGCTTAGGAATTGAAACCATTACATGTTTTGGAATCTCCAAACGAATAAACGATGTTAGCGTATGTATATAAACAGTTGATAGTTGAACACTATGGAGGAAGAGATGAGAGAAATGCATTTGAACCTGATTATTAGCAGCCTGCCCATGGACCCTTTGAGGCTTCATATTCAGATCAATCATTTTCGTATCAGTCTCGGCATGACCATCATCGTTAGCCTCTTGAACAGGTGATAGCCGGTGATGATTTTGCTTATTGTCTTCCACTGTCACTTTATGCGTTGGTGGCTGACTATGTCTATTACTTATCTCATTGGAAACATTAGCATGTGGACACGGATCCTCCAGATTTATAGGTTTGTCCCCTGGAAACTGAAAAAAAACAAGTAGTTCAAAATCGGATTCTTACGTATCGATAAAATACACGAGGTCATAATGCAGTCTATCAACCAACCTCAACCCTCTGCCTTAGCAAAAGGTATCTTTTATGTGTCCTTTTCCCTCCAACATGAACGATCATATCACATTGTAAACAAAGGGAACTGCCATCGATCTCACAGTAAAAGAAAGCTACATGCAATTTCCAAGGCGAAAAATAAATTTTTCATACCATCCCAAATCACAATACATGACAGAGCCAACAAGTACCAAAACCAAAAGGAAAGAATCCATACCAGGTGCATTCTCGCATATATCACAACGGGGWGCGTCACTGGGATTTGCAAGGCCAACTCTTACATGTCGACTCGCAAGTTTATTGCACATATGAACCTATCATACACAGTTAGAACACACRATGAACTCGAAATCCAGTCTTTTTGTTTGAAACATTTATGAAATTTACTAGGACAGTAGGTCAGTTTTCTGAACACACAAGAACTCAGCAAGCAAGAGAGAATGAGAAAGATGGCATAAAACTGAGAGAGAACTATAATACAGCCACACCAAATATCAATCTACTATTCTTAAATTTTGAGAAGGTAATCAGTAATACGCCCGGGCTATGCTTCGACAACAGCCACACGACTGATGTCCCAACACTGAAACTAAGTGCCAAAGATCAATAAAATTTATCATCCAAGCTGACAATCCTCGTGTTGGAAACTCAACAGAACTGCCAAAAGGTACTTGTTTTCTGTAAACTCAATGAGTGTTTGGCGTTATGCTTCATATTGATTATGTTTCTTCAATAAGAAAAGCCACTTGGTGTGACAGTCAACATCAGTAATTTTGTCCTTTAAACATAGATTACCGAGTAAGATCCATGGCAATGCAGATAGGGAGCAGATTTCTTTCCAAATTGACAGCAACAAAAGCCATCCTCCAAAGTTTCTTAGCAGCAAGTGAAGTGAAATTTCGCAGCAAATTGAAGTAAGAGACCCCCTCCTCAAGTACAAGATCCACCAGCATTACAACAAACAAATGCAGGCAAATTTCCAAGGATAACCCAAAACTTTAAAGAGCCAATAATCCACGACTCAATTATCATCCACCAGATTCTCATCGCCATAGCCCCAGCAGAATAGAAGTGAAGTAGTCACAATCAAGATAGCGCAAAATTAACCCAGGTAAGGAAGATGGGCAGAAATCAAGAGCAACAAAAAGAACGAAGAGGGGAAAACAAAAGAAGAAGAAGAAGAAAGAAATAAAGAGAAGAGAAGAGAAATACCTTCTCGTCGCAGGCGCGGCAAAGGGCGGCCTCGTCAGCAGCGCAAAAGACGATAGCGGCAGCGCTTTCACAAGCGTCACAAAGTGTTCTCATAATTTGAAGCTCCCAAATAAACCAAACCCACTCTCATTTCCTCTCCCAGCAAAATCAACCGCACAACAACAACGCCTTCATATCATACAATATCCCCGTCTCACCCACGAAAAAAGAAAAAACCCCAACCAAATAAATTTGCCCCAAATAAACCAAACCCCCCAACAAATCAAACACCCAAAACCCCCAAAAACGCAACTAAAAAATAGCAACAACGACAACAAGTTCCTAAGCTTTCCAAGACCAATTTATAGCTCCATTACAGATGGGGGGGCTCGACGTTTGACAACGAAAACGATGATGGTAATGAATAGGAAGAGGAGAGAGAGAGAAGGGAGAAGGGGGATTGAAATTGGGAATTTTGATGTATGGGGTAGGATTAGCGGGGCCTGGGGGTGTAAAAGGAGATTCGAGAAGGCAATTGGTGAATCAGAAACAATAATAAATCTGAAGAACAGAACATGGCAGCCAATGAAAAGGAGAAAAAGGGTAGTAAATGGATTTGATTTTGATTTTTTTTCTTTTGAGGAGGGGTTTGGTGTTTGTCAACTTAGCACTGAAGAGGGAAAGCGGAGTGGATGACCACAAGTTCTGTAAGATGGGAAGAGTGGGGGAGTGGAAAACGAAATGAATGGCCTTTCTCGGATTATTCTCACCCACCAGTTACATATCTGACGCGGGTCCCAAACTTTTCTTCGTTTTGTATTGTTTATTGCGAGAGTCTCTGAAGGAAGATGGATGGTTGGTTGAGGCCGGCCTTTGGCGATGGATGTCGCCATTTTCTTTCCTCTGCACGTGGCGCCCGCTTCATCCCCAACATTCTCGTTTGTGGTTCAGATCAATCCCACTCCCACGGTTCAATCCAAGAGCCGTGCTACGTCCTACTTCCTATTCTCTCTTTAAGTCTTATATATAATCTCTTTGCTTTGTCTCTCATTCTTATGAGAGGGGAGCATATGAACTTAAGAAATCGAACCGATTGATCAAAACCAACCGAAAATAAGTTGGTTGGTTAATTTTTGGGATATGCAGTTTGATTGTCGATTCTGAAAAATCAGTATTGATTAGTTGGTCGATCGACAATCATAAACCCATCGACATCGACATCGATCGATTGATTATATTATAATTTTTTAAAATGCTACATTTTACTATTTTATAATTATATTAAATAGTTTGGACTTGTTTTATTTGGATCAAGACTACTCCATATTTTACATTTGGATAAGAACTAATATGTATTCGCAACGATTCTGGCATTTTATCGGGGGCGGGCTATCGGTTTATCCCTTTTCCTCACTCGCCTTTTCTTGCTGAACTTCTAACAATTCGAGAGGGTCTCCATTTCGCAATGTCTCTTGGCTACTCTAAATTAATTGTGGAATTCAACTCCCTCACGACTATCTCTCTCCTTCGTGGTGATTTAGAAACCCTCAAATCTGAGTAGGTGTGGATACATGACATTCGTGCTTTGATTCTCCAATTAGAAGATTGCAGGTTCATGCATGTACACGGGGAAGGAAATCAATCAACTGACATTTTAGCAAAACAGGGTCTCTATAGTTCATCTTCATCCTCTTTAACCTATAATTTTCCTCTCTGACTTCTTCGTATCTCAGAATGGGAAAGACGCTCTCTTGTTGCCTCCATGGCTCTTGTTTCATAAATGAAAGTACTATTTTCTAAAAAAAAAAAGAACTAATATATATTAGTATAGTATTAGTCAAATATTTATTTTGAATTTTGTTAGGATGTGTATTACTTTTCTATAATAATGAAAAATACTGTATAGAATAAAATTTAAATGAAAGTAATAATGAAAATTGAAAAACACTATATAATATATGGTATATACGATAAAATTTGAATAAAAAACATGAAAGGAATCGAATTAATTAAAAAAAACGTATTTGAAAAGTAAATAAATATAAATCATTGTCGTTTTAACCGACAAACCAACCGAGTTGATCGGTTGACACACACTGAAACAAAAAAAAAATTCCGATTTTCAAGACAGTGTTGGTTTTCATCGATGGGGTTGGCCAAAAATTGACCTCGACCCATCCATGATTCGCCCTAATTCTTATTTGATAATTTTTCAACATACTTTAATTGCACCATCACAACATTTGTTTTTTTTCCTTTTGCTTTTTCTGTTCTTCAAGTATTTTTGAAAATTTTCAGTTGTTTGATATAATAATTTGTTTGTGATTTCATAGGATCGTGGTACGAATGGAGTTTAAGGTCGGGTCAAGGTCAATTAATTTAAGGGTGGAGAATGGAGTTTAAGGTCGGGTCAAGGTCAATTAATTTAAGGGTGGAGAAAAATAGGGAATGTATGTAAAACTAACGATTGGATCTCTCTTAGAGTTACAACGAGCAAGACCAACATTCAAAGTTACTATCTATAAACTTTTCTGATAGAAAGTTGTGATTTTCTATATGGTATCTACAAATTCTCAATTTTTCATTTGGCTATCTTTTTAAAAGCCAATCTAAATATAGTTAACTGGTTAAGACATATATGTTTGGTCAGTTCGAATTTCACTCACGTACTGTTGAACTAAATAAAACTTTTAAAGTAGTAAATATATTAAATGTGCTTATGAGACTAAGTTGTGGATGATCACGTCATATTTTTGTATTTTATTTAACACTATTATAAAAAAAAGTCACAAATATATTTTAATTCAATACTATACAATTATGTTGTATATGATACTACCAAAACAAGCATAACTCAGCGATAATTGACATATATTTTAAAATAAGAGGTTGTGAGTTCGAAACCTCACCCCACATATTGTACTAAAAAAATATGATATTGATTTTTTAGTACAACAAACGTGTGAATGGAGGAYTGAACCTCCAACTTTTGAGGGATGAGATGATGTTTTAACCGCTGAACTATACTTATAACTAAATAATGATCGAAAAGTATTTTTAATTGAGTTATTAATTATATTTCCCAAGGTTGTTTGCCTAAGTATCTAGATCATATGTTGAAGATGAAGAAAATAAAATGTGTTTGAAATTAATTTGATGATGAGTTTTCATCACAAAGTGTTGAGATTTCTTATTTATCACTTTCTTTGTCCTCCAAATTCCAATGTTAGAAGAATCTGGTGGGTGGGCCTAAAGTAACAGCAGTCCAATGCATGATTGGGCTTAAGAAAGTAACCCACCAGTCCAAACTGGGAGACAAACGAGTAGTATTGGGCTTGGGTAACCTTGGGTAAAAGATAAATTTTGAGCTATATTATTTTTTTTTATTATTATTATAAGTATAGGGTGAAGATTTAAACCTACACTTATTAAATATTTGGAGCTAAAACCTAGAATTTGAATGTATGGATAATAAATATATGTGTTTGGATGGATAGTAAAATTAATTTCATGGGGAATATCTGGGAAATTAAAATCCAAGAATTTGAATGTATGAGAACAATAAATGTATGTGTTTGGATAATTAGTAGAATTAATATATGAGAATTAAATGTATATGTTTGTTCTGCATGTTTTTTTTTTTTTTTGGATTTAAATAATATGTTTCAAATCCTCCTCCCACATCCACAAATTTTTAACAAAATTGGATAAAATAAAGAGAGATTTGCAAAAATATGAGTACATCTAAAAATGATAGGCGAAAACAAGAAATGAAGTCAACCTGAGCTTAGCTCCACAGGTATATATATGTCTTTGATCGGAAAGTCATGAGTTTTAATCATCCACTAATTATTTTACTAAAAAAAAGAAAAAACAAGAAATGAAAAAAGATGTGCTCATCTTAGCCAAAAAATGATCCTGCGAGCTCCAAAATTGTAAGTAGAATGAAGTCCCCCACTTCATCTACAACTGCACTGACTTTTTCTCTGCAACATGCATAGTTTTTATGGTTTTGTTTTTGTTTTACTCAAAAGACATCATATCAATAGAGATAATTCTTTTTTCTTAGATACCATAAGTCATTTTCTTCCCTAAACGRTAYGAGACTTTGTTTGCATTTCTCTTACAAATCTAATAGAAACGCCATAGATATGGTGTGGACATACCCAATCTATGGTGTCTGCCACCGTTCTCTGTCAGCCATTCATAAAAATGCGTTGGCTGCACATGCAGCATTCCTTCTCTCATATTTGATAGATACCAATATTTTTCCTTTCTAATAAGCCAAAGCCTTTGACAGTATTTTCTGCCGCTAACAAATGGCAGAAAGTTGTATTAACACCAAAAAATTTATTTGAAGCCATAACACTATCTCCTTTTTATTATTATTTATTTTTTCCAGAATATCTCTATTTTTCTTAATTATTTAAATCAATTAAAGAGGGTGATCGGAACCAAGCTGTGCTTCAAAACTCTCTCAAATAATTTGATATTTGTTCTTCCTTGTGCATGGAGATGATGTCAGTTGTTTGGATTTGGGTGGTGGTTTTGGTGAGCTTAGTTGTATTATTATGGGGATGGAAGTGTTGTGAACTGGATTTGGGTGAGGCCAAAGAAGCTTGAGAAGTTGCTCAGAGACCAAGGCTTCGCCGGAAATTCTTACCGGATTTTCTATGGCGACTTGAAGCCGATCATCAGCCATGTCGGAGCAAGCGAACTCGAAGCCGATGAACATCTCCCATGATAATTGCTCCATGTACCATCCCTTTCGAATATCAAATCATACTAAACTATGGTAATTTACGTCTCTTTATCTTTTTAACCCATCTGGCGGATGCCAATGGATTCTTTGTAAAAATAACATTTAGGTGTTTACGAGCTCCTACTTACTAACATTAATTAGGATGGATAAAACTTGATAAATATTAAAAAAAAATTAGACAACTATTTATTAAAYTTTCCCTCTTTTCGTTGAATTCATATCTGAATTGTCATTTTTTTTAATAGTGATCTTATTTACCAGTAAGTACCTAAATCTTTTATCCTTCTTTAAGTAAACGAAGAGGGATGTTTAAGTAACTTTTCTCGAGAAGTTACCCCACTCTTCATGGTGGATCATGTGGATCTATTTCAATGAGTAGTTCTAAGATTTCTTCTCAGAGAGAATTTAGGATGTGAACAAAGAGAGAAATGATTTTCTTTTGAGCATGGATGATACAAGTCATGGGATCCTTTAGTTAAGAAGAATAATATTTTTGGTGCTTACCCCTAAGTCTCTTCCAATTTTTCTTTTTTTTAAGAAAAATCTAGTTTCTCTCTTAGTTGTCTATGTCTATCATTTTGATATACTCTACAGTCATGCCATTTAGTTTCTAGTATACTATGATGATAGTCATACGACTATTTAGCGTCTGATATATATTGATATATCTGAAAGTCATATCATTTGTTTTTTTTTATATCATTGATATACGTCAAAGTCATACCATTGATATACCAAAAATATTAGTCTTTTTTACACCATTGATATACCTCAAAGTCATACCATTTGTTTTTAATTTACCATTGATATATCTTATAAAAATTATCGATATATATGTATCATGATATACCATTGATATATTATTGAACCTTTGATATATCATTGATATACATTATTTAATTACTGATATATATGATGTGGGCTGATATACATCATTGATATACATGATTTCATATATAATTGATATACTTGATATGAATGTCGATATACCAATAATATA